ATTGTAAATATTGTTGAACTGTGTATCATTCTCCATACAGGCAAGTACCCAACTGGTATAGCCCATAAGCTCAAAGTTAAGTTATTTAGGATAAACACTTGTAGTTTCCCCATTACAATTTGTAATCATTCTAGAAAAAAAGAAGGGTAGATTTACTTCTTCTTCTTCTTCTTGTTGTTGTTGTTTTTTATGGTGGTTACAACGTCAGTCAAATTGACCAAACACATATAGAGTGAGGGTAGAGAAAATAACTGAAAAAATATTAAGTTTTACTGTAAAAAAGTTTGATATATTTTTTAGGAGGTTCTAAGGATTATGTAAATGAAATCTGACACTTTACAGGTGAAGAAAGTATTTTTAATCTTAACATAAATATCACTTTGCACTCTACACTCTGACTTCATATAGTTATAGTCAATTTCTTTAGTAAAAATACTTAATTAAAAAACAAGATTTTTAGTGTAAAAAAGACATAATGTTTACTGAACACTTGCCAAATTTCGTGAAGATACACAAAACATCTTGAAAATTATAGTATGTAAGCTCTTATGGTCACTAGGTTAGTGTAATCCACCTAGCCCGTAGCGAGAGGTTAATTTAAATTAGTGTTCATGATTACTACCATTTTTAATTATTCAAACTATCCAAATAATTGAAATATTTCCATTATGATTTCAAATAATAATTTTTTTTCAATATGCATACATATTGCTTATACATAACTCATGGATGTGAAAATGTGGCCTACAATAATGCCCGTGTGGAAAGTTAATTTTGCTTAACAAAAATGTTGATGCTTAATAACTTGCTCATTTAACTGTATTTATCAGAAATTACTAAACATGGATTCATAACAATCTAAAAATGTATATTAATACTAAGTCAGTCTTTTTTACATGAATAGAACCCCTGTTTAATTACAAATAGCTCTAGCTAGATATGAAACACTGAAAAGATAAAATAAAAACCTGGCTGTTATCCCATACCACTTAAATACTGTCTATTAAAGTAAACTTTAAGTTGTTTGACTTTTTGATTTCTCAGCATACATATATTCTTCAACAGTTTCTTCCAGCTTCTAGTGTAAAATGTAAACATACTAATCATTTTAAGGTGTTATTTATAAACTCCTGTCCATATCAACAATTTTTTGCTTAAAATCTTAATAACGTATGATATTTTTAAGCTTACAATGTTGTTAACTATTTTCTGAGCTTTTCACAATGGACAGAAAAAATTCCAAAACATTTAATTCAAAGATTTATTTCTAGTCTCATCACAATTTTCTTGCCAAAAAATAAAGACTGTACTTAGTTTTTGTAGGATCATCAGGATTTGTTCTCACTGAACTATATCTTATCTATCACACAATACTATGATAAGTTTAACTAGTTTCATTACATGAAGTCTAAGAACAATTATTTTAATGAAGAATTAATTTGGTTTTATTAGTCTTGTGCAATATGTAGGAATAAACCCACATAACAAGACTACACAATGGGCTATCTATGGTGTGCCCACAACAACTATCAAAACCATGTTTTTAGCAGTGGGAGCCTCAGACTTACTGCTGAGCCACTTATGGGCAGGTTCTGAACTATGTTGCATATGTGATAAATTTCCATGTACAACAGTTTAGGATTAAAAAGGTAATTTAATCCTATCAAAATTATAGTGCCTGAATATTTAAAACACTAAAACAAGAGAAAAGTAGGAAAGTAGTCTCATAGGAGAATAATTATTAATTTAATGTAATTGATTAATAAATTAGCAAACTCCACAATGTGCCAAATGCTAGGCAATTAAACATGATATTATGTATAAGTATCACAAGTTTCTTCAGAAAAAAAGTGAATTTCAATGTTAACCTACAATAGAGTATGATGCAAAAGTCACGTATCATTATAATTCTTTAAAATCATGTTTTTACAACTATTTGAAATGTGCACTATTGCTAAAATTAAACAAAGTTACTCTTGCAAAAAAAAGATCGTCGCTCACTTCTACACATTTTTGCAAGATTAATGACATCCATACTAATTATCATAAAAAAAGAAAATACACCATTGATGAAACACAAACATAAGTGGAAAAATCTGAAGGCATGACTTTGCATCACCTTGGATTAAAAAAAGACTTACTTCTTTGTTTCATCTAAAAAGTTTTACCTAAAAGAAACATTGTAAACAAAAACCTGACAGAGAATTTCATTTAATCTTTTATGTAATTCGAAATAATATCCAATTTAGCTCAAATATGCCTCACTGAAACACTTTTCATTTTAAAATTCTCAATAACCTGATTTCAAAACAACACAGAAAACAGAAGTAGTAAGGTTTGGAAATAGAATCTTTAATTTTGTTTTTGCTAACTTTAACAAGGGTGTTTAAAGAAACATTTAAAAATCAATTTAAGTGATAGCAAAAACTACTATAAATATAACACTTAAAAACAGGAAAATAAATTAAGGATTCTATGGTAGTAAGTAAATTCAGATTTCAGCAAAGTTAAACTGTAAAATATCCCAAAATAGTTAGTTGCCAAAAATAGCAACCATTAAACATTTTGAGGTGCCACTTATACACAATTTTAAGATTATTTTAAAACAAAGTCCACAAATGTTTAGAATGCTAACTATAATACACAGATTCTGAAAACTTACCATATCTGTAATTTAATTTTCTTCCCCCTCAATTCTATTGTCTTGATTTTGAAATCAATACCTGGAAGAAAACAAATATCTTATTAATATCTAGTACTCTGGATGAAAGTAAAGAAGTTAAGGTTTCAAAATTATAGAAGTAATTGTATACATACAAACAAGTATGCCTGACTGCATGGCTTTCATTGAATTCTTAACGATGTGATTGTATCATTAAAGGATTAAGCACATAAGATGGTTACTACAGTAGGCATCTTTTCAAGGTTTTTCATCTGTTCTCATATTTACACATCTGAATATAAAAGCATCTAGAAATAGGATGGTACATATGTTTTTAGCTTGTGTCAATATAAAACTGTGAACTTGAAAAGAAACTTCTGCAGATCAACATAGATTGTTATAGGTGTAAATCTGATGGGCTTACTATCATATTCTATAACTATGTGCCTCAAGGACATTGTAAGAAAGATTGGTTAATCAAGCTCTTCCATAGTTTAAAAAAAAAATTAAATCTCTATTCACTGATATACAGTATAAGAAAATAGTTTATAATGTCACAACATAATTTGCCTTACTATCAAATGCATATATTTAAAAGTTATTCCATCCCTTACACATTCAAAAATTATGGTTTATATTAGGTGCTGGTAAATCACCCACTTATTCTGATTAATTACAGCTCATATACCTAAGTGCTTTGACATTGTATTTGCCTTTTCTATGAACTTTTTATCCTAGATGAAGTCAGTCACCAGTATCACACTAACTGCAATGTTTTGAGGCTCTCTTTGCCTTAAAAAATGTATTTTGAAATAATTTTGAAGCCATTTCTCTCACTTTTGAGTGAGCAAAAACCAATGAAAGTATAATATACATTGTGTGACCATATATTTCCAATGTATAGTTCAGTGGTATACATTTACTGCCTATTCTCCACTCATTAACAAAATGTGATTATACTGTTACTGATTAAGTAAGTAAACTGCAACATACATAAAAGTAAAATATTTTCAAATTTACTGTCTACTTTTGTCTGCTTCAGAGACATCATCAGTACAACAGACAAAACATTCACAGTATTTATATAAACAATGTTAGGAAAACTGGGTGGTACACTCGTAGTGTAAAAAAAAAAACTAGTATAACATACACAGAAACTATGGAGCTTTCATAAACAACACTAGTAAAACAATATAGTGACAAAAAACTAACAGATTATAAGTTAGAATCAGAAATTTCTAGTTCCAGAAAGTAACAAAAGTCCTGGAAAGGAGCAGTTACATACCCTGAATAATTACATGAATATACAAAGATCAAGAAAGACAATCTACTGGAACAACTGAGCTGGTTAGAGCTGTTTGATTAGTGATACCTGTAAATTAATTAATTAATAATGCCCCCATTAAATGGCAAATAATGACAGACAGTTGCAATTCCTCTATTCAGCAGTTCAAAATTAGTGACAGTGTCATACAGCCTTAGAGGGTGAGCAAGTTTGGTGGCAATAACAATTGAACCAGAGTCGCCCGAATCATGAGCCTCCCCCAAATCACCAAAGCTGAATAAACATGAAATAAAAGAAAAAAAAAATGTAAGGTTAAAATTGGGCAGAACACAAATAGCCTATTATATATATTATATATAGCTCTGTGATTAACAACAACAAAATATAATAGCAATATTTTGATAATTTGTAAAGTTGGAATAATCTAAAATAGTAATAACCAAAAACCCTAGTTTCAATTAATACATTATTCTCATGACAATCAATTTAATCATAATGTCAATTTATCAATTGCTGGAATAATCAAAAACAGTAATTAGCCAATTAGTTTATGTGACATTAAGCGATGTAATTACTGCTCATAGGTAATCAATTAATCAAATAAATCACCCAGTTCAACTCACAGTACAATTACAGTTGGACAGCACACAACAATAAAACTAATGAAGGGTAAAAGTTGAAGGAGATTTCTGACTTAAAAACTATATTCTCTATAAATATGACTAGGATCAATGAGTCTTCCTAATTATTTAAAATACATGTTTAATGCTTTCCCTATAAAGTTAATTTTAGTACAGCTGTATATCACTTACCTACATTGCATATACGTACATTGTAATACTACACTAAATATTTGTCATAACTAATTAAAATGCTATTGTAATCATGAAAATAATGGATAAAATCAAAATTAAACTTTTTCATTTAACAATAATTCCACAACAATATTGTTAGTGTTCTCCAAGTTGTACATGAAGAGCCAAGAAAAGTTCAGAATTATTTATGTAATTAACTACAGACATTAGAAACAACCTGACTTTCCTTAAGAATGCAGTTTAATGTACAGCACCCCAAATTAATGTGTTTCTGTAGAAAAGGTAACAAGTGTGAGATTTATATTCTTAAACATAGATACTGTACATACATATACAAAACCTTAAATAGTGGTTAAAGTGTTTAAAGAAAAATATGAATTAAACTTTGTGAAAGTAATTGGCAACAGGATGGAAATGTTTCATGAGCAGTTAAAACTGATGTTTTGGCCTATAGAAGCAGGCCATCTTCAGGTAATGTATGATTAACAGCAATTAAATCCAATCACCCAATGGATCCTGATCTCTTAATATGTACAAATGAATTTTTCATTCCTAGGTCTCAATTATTCTGTAATATTAAATGTCAGAATACTTAATGTAAAGTAATATCCTTTCAAAAGAAAAAAAACTGTAATAATAATTAAAATTTACCCAAGAATGAATCACACAAAAATAGCTAACTTTTAAGATAAGTCAGTGACAAGATTATTACAACTACAAACATTCAGCAAACAAAATCTGATATACCTGAAAACTTCATATTTGTGCCATAACAAAACTGACTATCACTGCATGTAACAAAGTATTTAAAACTATTGTTTAAAAAAATGCTTCTACAAACAACTAGAATTTTTTGTCTTCAAAGCAATAAATTGTCATGTGTGTTTAATTATGACTATACTGACCATTATCAAAAGAAAAACATCATCTATAGTTCCTGGTAGCAATAACCAGAAAATAATTAACAATAAATTTGTTTCTGTTTTAGATTTATATGACGAACAACAGTATAGGAAGCTTTTCTCCAAACAATAATAGATTCTACTTCCTACCATACTATTTATGATAAACAGGAAGATCCATGATTCATGGGATAAGCTTAGCTCATATTTACACACATATAAATGTAGGACTACTTTATAGCAAGACAGCTTCTTGATTTTCCAAAGCTATTTTTGGTATACAAAAAAATTCAGACAAAATGTATATTTAACCCTTTCAATATGGGTCACCGGTGAAAGGCCATGTCATCTCGTTTGTTACTCGCATTCAAAGTTTTATTGAACTACTATTTCATGAATTTATGTCAGTAAGTTTGATATCAAACTGTGGAACATAATATAACTTTTAGTAGTATACATTACTCAATTTCTTAACTTAAAAGTAAATATTAAAAAACAGATAAAATTGATTTTTTTTTGTGTCACGTGGTATGTTGAATGCAACACTGATTCAACTT